GAACAACAGTGGCCTTGAAGTGAAGTTACCTTTTGTTTTTCCCTCTGTCTTCTTTGTCTCCATCCAAGCAATGTTTGTTTGAACAGCTCTGGGCCAACAGTGCCCCATGCTGTTCTGCCCTGTTCTTCAAGCTTTCATGCGTCTCTTTGCCTTTATAGATATTCTCCTCCTGCACTCACTGCCTCCTGTTTCTAGGATGTGCAGTGAATGGTGAAACTGCTCACTAAATCTCAGATGCGCTGTCTCTCTTTAGGCTCCATAGTTTGTTGTGCTGGAGGCACTGATATTATCAAGCCTGGCATTATTTATTCAGTCTGATGGGCACCATCTCTACATTTTTCAGTCATGGATGGATGGGAGATTTTTGAATAATCTTTTATTATGACTGTACCTTTATAGATTCTCTTTTGGCAAGCGACTCAGTCTTCCTCTTTCTTTCTCGGACTTGTGGTCCTTTCTTAGCTTCAGGAGTCCTGGTAGTTCAGGATATGTTTGTTAAGACTCTTGGTCGTATTACTCATTTCCCAGTTTCTGGGTGATCCCTGTTCTTAGCAGATAAATAAGACGCACAACTCATGTTCAAAGAGTGATTTTTAGTGACATCATTTCCCTTTAGAGTGTCTGGCCTTTAAGGTTATCCTTTACTCAAAATATAATTCAGTTGGTGGCTTCAATTCATTGACCTCTTAGCTAGGACTGGTGCTACTGAATCATGCTTTGACAATTTCAGCTGAGATGCTTTTGTTTGGTCATAACATGACCATATTTTCAGAGGCTTTCAGAGATCAGAGGCTTTTTCTTTTTTCTTAAGGGAAAAAATTGTCCCGCAAAAAAACTTCAGTTTTAAAGGTTAAAGACTTCCTAGACGTAGGCTGCAAAGGCCTAAAAAGATCAGGCTGATAACATGTACATGAAACAGTCAAGGTAAAGATAGGGACAGAAGTGCCTGAGCCTGAGTGGAGTTTGAAAGCTCCACCTAAAATCATTCAAAGTCAGTGCAAAACAATTCATCCCAGTTCTGGTTAGGAATCTTAGTTTTGCAACAACTCCTAGGATTGGGGCATCTAGACAGGGTGATCAAACATTCAGTTTACATTTGCTGAAGGGTTTCCTAGGATGCAGAAATTTCAAGGCTAAAACTGCAACATGCCTGGAGAAACTGGATATTTGAGCACCCTAGATCTGCCACACGTTGTGCATATAATCTTTGTCTTAAACTAGGTTGTATTTCAACTAAAGCTTTAAAAAAAGAGGAAAACTAGTTGAGTCAAATGCCTGTATTTGTGAATACCAAAAGGAAGTGGATGATTCTTTTTTGTAAATTTGGAGTTTTCAGTGGGGGAAAAATGTAGTTATCCCTTGGTATTTGAAGGGGATTGGTTCCAGGACACCCTTCCCTCCAACTGCAGACACCAAAATCCATGGATGTTCCAGTCCCTTGTAAAAAAAATGGTATAGTACAGTCAGCCCTCCATATCCGCAGGTACGGAGTGCCAACCATAGCAATGATCACCATTTTATTCTTCTTGTAAGCAAAGCAGGACTTCAAACTCTATTTGAGAGATGACTGCTTTTCAGAAATTATAGGCACTGAATTTATTGCCAGCCAGTCATAGCTGTCCATCTGCTAATTCTCTCCACATAGAAGGAGCAGCTGTCATTTCAGAAATGCTACAGGAGATAATAAGATGGGGTGCATTTCATCTTCAAATGCTTAAAACAAATCCCCGAGAAGAGCAGCAACAGTTCCTCTGACTATGTGAATCTCTGATATTATTAACACAAAATGCCAAATGGATTTGGAGATTGAAAGCAAATGGATTTGCTTTAAAAGTAAAAACACTCAAGTTAGGATATAATACATATTGTAATAATCTGCAATTTCTTAGATACAGGAACTGCCAATGCCATAGAAACACATAGAGATACTCTCAAAATCATAGCCACACGTAGAGTGCTGAGTAGAAATACAAACATATGGGTTCCGAAAACCATACAACCTATGTATACCAGTGGAATAATTCATTGCCTCCAACCCTGCAAAACAAACAACAAACAAAATCTGCCTCAAACTAAGAGTTTTCCTAACTTCTATATGTCTCACATGGGCCCAATTTCTCTCCAAATCTATATACTTAGATATTCTTAGATGACATCCTCCCTCTTGTAGTGTTTAATAGCCCAAATTCCAATCAACAATCTCTATTGATTATTCCTTTGCAATTTTTATTACATGAATTATTTTCTATTCAGCCTATTGCCTCTACTGCCAAGTGTGCTCAGATTAGCTGGTACTGACCACAGCCTCTTGTATAGGGGCCTTAGCCAAGATTCTTCTCCCCTGCATTCAGCCCGTGTATAACTATCTGATTATTCTTCATCCATAAAAATGTTAGGATGAGATAAGAAACCAATGAAACGAAGTTGTGCTATGCATCCCTATTAGTACAGGTGTAGGTGAAGATGTAGCTATAGATACAGATGTGGATACAGATGTGCATACAGTCATGGACACAGACACAAGTAGAGTGACAGTTATACAGATATTTCTCCATGGAGATATCTGAAGTAGATAGTATTTCATTTGCTCTTCAGAATAAACCTGGGAGGGAAGTAAGGCATATCTATTTTTTTTCCACATTTGAGAATAGTGACTCCCAAAGAAGCCCCAAATCCCATTCCTGGTGACAGCTGGGAGTTGGAACTAGGTCTTCTTATCTAAAACTTGGGCTGTTTCTAGTTGCTGTACAAATCTTTAGTTTTTCTATTTGGGGGAATTATAATCTAGGATTATATTTCTGCTATGTGGTAACCTATGAGCCCTTTCCATATAGATACTGCCTCTGAACTTGGTTTCCATGGAGCATGGGGAGAGAAGATGTAGAGAGAGCTGATGTAGAATTGTTGACTATTGGACACATACAGTGCTTGCATTTTCATTTATATAAGCAGAAATGCTTTTAAAGAGGTTCAGCTGATTTTATCTCAGTCAATGTTACAAAGAAAAACAAATCCCTGGTTGATGAGAATTCAGGTCAAGGCAAGGAGAATCACAGAGCAGTTAAAGAGAATCCTGAGGTTCTGGGATATTGTGCCTGTAAGAACCTTGATTTGAGAAAAGAAATTCCATTTAACACAGAAGACGTGCTCAGGAACAAGTCTGGGCCACCCGTTCCTTTCTGTTGCTATTGGCATTAAATATCTGCTTCATATTTTGTCTTCATCCTTAGTCCCAGGCAGAACAGATAAACCCTATTTCTAGATGTCATTGCCACTAAAAAGAGGAAGGGAGGGATCAAAGCAGGGAAATAATAATAATATAAAAAAGGTACAGAGGAAGATGCACAAAACCTACCATTTCTCAAGTCAAAATATTTTAACGGAGAAATTGGGATAAGTGATTAATCTAAAGATTTTTGGTTTCCAGTGAGCTGCCAGGGGGTCTGACAGGCAGCAGGAAGCTAATATTTAAAGATAATTTCAGAAATATGGAGATGAAAGAGTGGTAAAAGAAGGCTGAACTAAGTTCCTTCTACCTCCAAGGTTTATTGAAAATAGTGTTTTAAAAAAAAGAAAAACAGAAAATGAATCTGATTCTACATTTAAGTGTTAGTACATTTATCCATCCCAAACTATTTACTCAATACCATCTCTGACACAGTTATCATCTCAGGATTTTGATGGTGACCAAGAGACTGTCCTTGCTTCTAGCAAGTTCCTAGTCTAATGGGAAAGGCAAGAGAAGTGAAAATAAAAACCCACCCAAAATGGTTTCATAAGGACTCTGACAAAGGAGACCTCGGGATGCTTTTGCAACAAATAGCAGTAGAATGCAATGGCCTGGGAAATCAAGGAAAGTGTCCCTGCTGGGCTGTTCCCCTGAAAGTTGGATAGGTAGGAATGGATGGAGATGGGGTAGTCCTAGCAAGGGCCCCTCAGACACAATTGCTTAGAGGGAACTGTGATCAATTCCATGGAGCTGAAGTATAGACGGGCAAGGGTGGAGGGCTGGGTGGAGGGAGGGAAGTGTGCTGGAATGCTAGTGAAGGAGATGCTGTGATGATGCCCCCAATCTGTAGCACTTTGCTTGTTAACCCTATCGAGTAAATAACGTCTTAGCAGAGCTGCTGTGAACTCCTGTGCATGGGCTGCACTGGTCATCTCCAGTGGGCTTTTAGGAGCACTCTACCTGACAACTCAGCATCTCAGTTCCCTCCCTCTGAACTGCCTTCAGTGCTATCACTAATCAGCTAGGTCACCTTGGTAAAGTAACTTGGAACTTTCCAATATGAACATTTTCACTCCTGCAATGAGGGGCTATATGATTTTGAGTTCATTCTAGCTCTCATATACCCTAATGCAATCTTTGACAAAAGGCACTGCGATTCTCCAGGAAAATGTCAAGCTTTCTGTGTTCTCCACCTGGCCAGGGAGGGAAGCAGTGTGACAAGGGAAAGGGAATAAGGGTTAGAGGCAAATAGACCCAGTGGAAAGCACAGTTCTTGGTTATGTGATCTCAGCCATTTATTGAATCATTTCTAAGCCTCAATCTCTTCATTGGGATGTGCTAATATTCACCTGGCATAGCTATTGGGCTAGCTGGAAATATCATATATAACACATACAACATAATAGATTGACCTCAACTTACTATCTGTGGAACCGAAGGACCCAGAGCCTAGAGAAATTTATTGAATGTATTTTCCATGAGTGAATGTAGTGGGAAGCTACAGTTCTCGAACTTTGTCTTAAAACTCTGATCATCCAATATTAAGTCAAATATGATTTCTAGTTCTTTCTGTGGCTGTGAACAATCATGGCACTTTGGGAGCTTAAATGACAGATCTGCAGCTTTCTGGACATCTGGAATTGATGCCAATTGGGCAGAAGTCAGAGGGAAGTTGGATTCATTAGTTTAATTGTCTGTATTGTGGAGCTTTATTTTCTCAAGTAATTTTCTTCTAAATGTGTATTTATTTGTGTATGATGTGTTCCTGCAGTCACAGATGCTCACTGAGAGGGGAAGATTTGAACAGACAGTGGCTGTCTCCCCAAGCCCATCTCCAGCCAACCATCTACCATGCCAAAGGACTCCTCTACTACCTGGGCAGCATTGGCCGGAGTCCTGTGGTGAGTTACTCACTTCCCTCTGCCTCCACACTCTTGGCTGTTCATTCTACTTTCCGGAAGGCAGATTATACTCTGCCATGGCAAAAATCCAAAACCAAAACCAAAAATAAAGGCCAAAGACCTGCGTAGGACAAGCTCAAAAGAGGATGTACTGATTTCCTAGGGCTTCTGTAATGAACTACCACAAACTGGGTGGCTTAAAACAATAGAAACTTAGCTCACATGTCTGAAGGACAGAAGTCTGAAATCTTCTCATTGATGCCAGCAATCTCTGGCATCCCTTGGCTTGTGGCAGCATAACTCCAACCTCTGCCTCTGTCTTCACAAGGCCATCTTTCTCTGTGTGTGTCTGTATCCCAATTTCCTTCCTCTTGTAAGGACATCAGCTATTGGATTACGGCCCACTCTAATCAAATATGGCCTCATTTAGCATTATTATGTCTGCAAAGACCCTATTTCCAAATAAGGTCACTTTCACAGGTACCAGGGATCAGAGCTTCAACATATCTCTTTGATGCACACAGTTCATCCCACAACACAGACAAATAATCAGTTCAGTACTCATCGGTAAAAACTGGGCAAGAAATGGCATTTTATCTTATTTCCTGGGCCTTCCTTTTTCTAATATTTCAGTTATTGAACAAGGAAGAAAATGTACATGAATATTAAATAATGTTTGGGAAAAATCCTCTAGGTGTTTATATCCATGTTCAACTAATGCTTATTACATTCCAAAGATGATTCTGACACTGTTCTAAGTACTTTATTATCCCAAGCCTCTGGTACTATACAATTTATTTAAAAAAAAACCAGACTATTTAAAATCAGTGACCTTGGTTTGAGATAAGAAAGAGGAAATGACAGCAAAGTAACCATGTGAAAATGCTCATTTATTAAATACAAATCGTGAACACACCTGTCTGTAAACTGTGGAGGGGCATATGTCCAAACTTAAGAGTCCTTACTTTACCTGAGACACTTAAAATAGGGTGGAGAAGCTGACATATTGGCTAAATCAAATAATTATCTCTATCGCTAACCACTTTTTGAGCATCTACTATGCGATCAAAGAAACCAAAGGTGCAAGTTTCCAGATGTTCCTTTCCTTGTCTAGTGGAGTTGTATAAACAGTACCTAATTCACCAGCAACAATGTCTATTGCAACCACGCTCACCTAAGCCTCAGTGTCTAGGGTTTCTACTGAGGGTCAGCTATGTAGCCATAGAGTGCCCCACATGGCTAACCTTAGTTACTCAGTCTCTAGCCTCTCCAGATGTCAAACTGAAACCTCATGGCCCAAGACTCCCAACAAATATCATATTGTTACCATCAACCACTTGGCATGACCCACATCCCAAGTAAGAAAGACATTCATCCAGCAGAATATTCCAAGATGGTAAAGTTCATTTTCCAGGAGCCAGTCAAGGAACAGAACTTTCTAAGAATATGGAAGGTTTGAACATCCTAGACTTGCTGAGTTAATCCTTTATTGCACAGAGAGCAAAGCATTCTTTTCTCTTAAGAATCCTGGTTCTGCAGTGGTTAAAATATACAATATTTTCATGTTGATCTTGCCCTCCCTCAATCCTAGCAGGCACTGTTATCTCTGCTATCTGCCCACTGGAATCCAGCTCATGGCCTGCACAGCAGGGCACAAACCTCATGGTCAAAACATGGAAAAAGAGTGTCTCTCTGAGCAGGAAGATTTAGGCTCCAACAGGAGAGAGAGAAAAACTTAAAAGAGAAGAACTCCCTAACTGATACACATTTAAATACACACACACATTCATTCCACAACAACATAGGATTCCTCTCTGCTCTGACAACCTCTAATTGAAGAGCAGAACATTTATTTTAAACCCTGACAGGTGAAAAGCTTGTTTAAAAATATAAATAAACATTAATTAGCTATAAACATGACAGCCACAGACTTGTTTCCTGCTGGGACCATCTGAGAGGTGGGTGAGAAACAGCTGAGTACTAAATGCTATTCACAGTGTTACAAAGCTCTCTAATGGGCTTAACATCACCTTTTAGCTACCTACAAAGCTGTATTGAATCAGTCTCCTGCTAGCAGCAGAAGCGTTGCCACTCAGTACACAAGCCTGTCCTGCAACAGGAAGATTTCTACTGCAACAAGATTGACTTTTGGGCTATCTGGTTGGAAATTAACTGTGACTCTGCCCAACCTCTAGCTCTTATTATTAAAAAAATATATATATTTTTTTCTGAAGCACTGGGAGGGTGCTGTATGGTTGCTAGGAAATCTCACCTGTTCTAGATGCTAGTCAGGCATTTGCCCATGAACTCCCAGGAACCAATGAGAATGTGGGGGGCTGTGAGAAAAAGCAGCACCCCGATACTACTGGGGATTCTAAATACCAGACAAATCACTTAGTTTATAGGCAACATGACAATATTCACATATTGTTTCATCCATCCACCCATTCACCCATCTGGGTGGTCATCTATTTGTTGCTTCTCTTACACCATGTGTGTGATTGCTGTGCTACGTGCCAGGGATAAAAAGCCAATTAAAAAAAAAAGATTGTACATTTTTTTGAGGAGCCCACAGTTTACTTTGCTGGAAAGTAGAGTCAGATGTAATGGGTGCAGCACACAGTCTGGGGGATGGACACGCTTGAAGCTCTGACTCGGGTGGGGCAAGGGGAATATATGTAACCTAAACATTTGTACCCCGGTAATATGCTGAAATTAAAAAAAAAAACAACAAAAGAAAGTAGAGTCAGGTCTGCAAAGAAACTAGTGTGGTACAAAACAGTAAATACTGTAATAAAGGCCCACGTGCAGTGTTATAGAAGCAAAGATGAGGGGTAAGTCATTTTCTCTCAGGCTTATGGAAAAGCTGGAGAGAATGGAGGTGCCATTTGAGCTGGGCATGAAGGACAAGGCAGGGTTTCCCTTTGACTTGACTCTAGTAAGACTGAGAAATATTTTTTTCCCTCAAAGGATCTCTTAGATCTTCTCCTTTGTGAAATTGGAAATCCAAGGAGTTTTCTGTATTTTGGGTCACTGCACAGTGCAAAAGAAAGCAAGCTTTTCATTTAACAGGTGGCAGGTACTCATATCACACAGACCTTCTTGTGACTCCTTCCCTATGTTCTTAAACCCGGATTTTGTGTCACTTTTGTTTGTTAGAGAGCTTATATCTTGCATCCAAAAGCCCAAACACATAACAAACTTTGGTATATTCATACATTGGAATATTATTTAGTAACCAAAACCAAAACTCAAAAAACAAAACAGTGAACTCTGGATACAGTCCATAACATGAATGAATCTCAGAAACATTATATTGAATGGAAGAACCTAGACACTAAAGACTACATACTCTATGTTTCTATTTATGTAACATTTAAGAGCAGTAAAAGTAATTTATGAAGATAGAAATTAGAACAGTAGTTGCCTCTGTGGTAGGGGATTGAATAATAAGGGCCAGGAGGGAACTTTCTAGGTTAGTGGAAATGTTCTATATCAAAGAGTTAGTTACACCAAAACTCACTGAACTGTGTATTCAGGATATGGGCCTTTCATTCTAGATACACATTTATCTAAATACAGAAAATTAAAAACAAATCAGAGCAAAGTAACGGATCTTTAAAATGCAGATAGGAGACAAAGGGGCTCCCCCAAATAAGACTGACCAACATAGAGACGTGCAAATCAAGTCAGGGAAAACATCTCTGCCAGGACAGAGTAAAAAGGCTGTGGAAGGAGATCTGTTTAGAAGTCAGAAAGATCTTAAAGCTCAATAGTACTCCATGGTATACATATACCACATTTTATTAATCCACTCATGAATTGATGGGCACTTGGGTTGTTTACACAACTTTGCGATTGCAAACTATGCTGCTATAAACATTCGAGTGTAGGTGTCCCATTTGTAGAGTGTCATGTGATCTTTTGGGTAGATGCCCAGTAGTGGAATTGCTGGATCAAATCGTAGAATCCACTTGCGTCGTCACTTTTAAGGTTTCTCCATATTGCTTTCCACAGAGGCTGAACCAGTTTGCAGTCCTACCAGCAGTGTAGAAGTATCCCTATCTCTCTGCATCCATGCCAACATTTATTGTTTGGGGACTTTTTGATAAAGGCCATTCTTACTGGAGTTAGGTGATATCTCATTGCAGTTTTGATTTTCATTTCCCTGATGATTAGAGATGTTGAGGATTTTTTCATATGTTTGTTGGCCATATTCTGTTCTCTATTGAAAAATTTCTGTTCATGTCTTTGCCATTTTTGATAGGTGGTTTGATTTTTCCTTGCTGATTTTCCTGAGTTCTAAATAAATTCTAGTTATCAGCCCTTTATCGGATGTGTAGCTTGTGAAAGTTTTCTCCCATTCTGTGGGTTGTCTGTTTGCTCTCTTGACAGTTTCTTTGTACAGAAGCTTTTTAATTTGATCAGGTCCCATTTATTTATTTTTGTTGCTTCTGTGATTGCCTTTGGGATCTTCTCCATAAATTCTTTCCTAGGCCAATGTCTAGAAGAGTATTTCCAATGTTTTCCTCTAGAATTCTAGTAGTTTCACACCTAAGGTCAAGTCTGTTACCTAGCGTGAGTTGATTTTTGTGAGAGGTGAAAGGTGTGGGTCTTGTTTCAGTCTTCTACATGTGGCTATCCAGTTTTCCCAGCACCATTTCTATTCAGCTTTAAGAAACAATGGTGATATAGCACCTCTTGTATTTTCCTGGATAGAGCTGGAACCCATTCTACTAAGTGAAGTATCTCAAGAATGGAAAAACAAGCACCACATGTACTCACCAGCAAATTGGTATTAACGGATCAACACCTAAGTGGACATATAGGAATAACATTTATCAGGTGTTGGGCAGGAGGGAGGAGGGAGGAAGGGATGGGTATATACAAACACAATGAGTGAGATGTGCAACATTTGGTGGATGGTCACGCTAGAAGCTCTGACTCAAGGGGGAGGGTTGCATGGGTAATACACATAACCTTAACATTTGTACCCCCATAATATGCTGAAATAAAAAAAAAAGTAAAAAAGAAAAAAAAAAGAAATCAGAAAGATCCAGCTGGAGAGAGGGCAGGTAAGCAGAGAAGCCCAAAGAAGTAGACAGGCTCCACAGTCAGCTAGCAGGAGGTACTGAATCTGTTTCTGTTTGTGAAACTCCCCATAAGAGCGGGAGGCAAGGCTGGTGGCTGAGGGGGAAGTTGGGCATCACTTCCAGAGTGAGAGAAAGCCCTTAGGCTGTAGCATGCTTGGGGAAAGATGGGTGGACAGCTTCTTTCGAGCGGCCATGTTACAGCTGGCCTGGCCCTTGTGTTGCTCTGAAGAATTGGGGCTTCACAATCAGGAGAGGTATTGATTCCTATCCTCTCGGCTCTCCCTGTGTTAGTGCATGTTGGTAAAGGGATTTCAGTGCTCTTTGAAGAGCTCATTGATTTCCCTTTACAACCCATACAAACTGGGCTGCCTTCTGCCAGGAGACAGGGAGGCATATTTTGGTTTTGTCTTTCTCTGGGGCCCAGTGGAATAGAATTTTTAGCTACTTAAATGATTTCCTGGTCTTATTTTGTCCCTTTGGCCTGTGTTTTTTAGTTAATCAGCTTCTTTTAAAAGAGACACAAAAGGAGAGGGAAGAAAAGGGATGGCATGTCCCTTCCTATAACCCTTGTCTCCAAGGACCTCAAGGTATTTTATTACACACTATTTTACCTCCACTTTATTCCTCAGAAGTGGTAGAAGAACAAGTGTTGTTTTTGCTCATTTTCATTGACTCATGCTAAAGTACTAAATCTAGAATTTCGCTTTTTTAGCATTTGAGGATATGGTAGAAAAAAACAAGAACCTTGCTGCCATAATGGAGGGAAGGGACAGAATGCCCGTGGATGTCCTAGGTGAAAAAAATTTAAATTTTATTTTATATTCTTTTATTTAGAATCATTTTCATGCTATCCGAATAAACATTAAACAATGCTTCTTTAACATACCAGAAACAATGCTTTGTGTGTATTTTACTGATACAAATAATCTATATTTAAGTGAATGCTAAAGTTTCTCAGATAACCTTAGGTTGAAAAGCAAAGGGCAAATTTACTGCCCTGACCCACCCCAAGGGTTTACCCAGGCAACGTAGAAACCTGTTATAGGTCCAAAATCCTAGTCTAGATCTCACTTTCTGGTGAAGACAGGGGGCTCAATAGCCTGTGTGTTCTGATTGAGTTTAACACACAAAATGAATAGGTGATGCGTCTACCCTGAGAGCTTCAGCACCTGTACCTGAGTGAGATGGAAGGCAAAGGCCTCACCCAGGGACTGTGTAGAATGGTGGCATCCAGGTTGCTGCTTCTCTCCCTTCAATGTGTAAAACTGGGGAAAAGGAACAGCTCAAGTTCCTGAGAAAGCTGCCAGGAACCCACTGCACATGTGCCCTCTCAGGCGTTAAGCTGACTGCTTGTGGAGGGAAAGCCGGGCAGAAATGGAGAGCAGAAAACACTGAAACAAGACTTCAGGCTAAGTCTGGTTGTTCACGCTCAGATTTGCTAATCGACAGTCTTGTTATATTGCTCTTTATCGCTGATAGATCAAATGTTTTTAAATGTTTTGTTTTAGAGAATTTTGGAATAAGACTGATCAGATTTGAGATATAACACATCGTTTTTTAATGGGTAGCCATGGACAAGTTGTTTAACCTCCTTTAATCTTAGTAGAAGTTGAATCTTGGTAAAATTAGGATGATATCCTCCTTTCAAGACTTTTTATAGATTATAGATGTGTGTAAAATCTTAGCATGGTGATTGGTACATGCCAGATATTCAAATAAATAGTAGGTATTAGAATTATTACTTACCAAAAGGAGGTTAGATACAAAAGAAAGCCACACTAGACTACATGTTTTTATGTTGATTTACATGGGCTCTTTTAGTGTAATAGAAATATTTTGGAAAGAAGGATTTTATAATTCACAACACTGGGATGGCAGAAAACCTCCTCCAGCGTTTTACAACATATAATAAATGTCCCACTGTAGGCAGACTCATGAAGAGTTGGTTATTGGTGCATTCTGCTGGGTTTAATGTGAAAATTGTCTCCACAAATTAGCTAGTGGAGGGAGCAAAAACTACCTATAAGTAAATGCTGCTTTTCTGAGGCCCTGTTGGAACTTTGGCCCACAATGGCCCAATTTAAGTGAAAGTCTCTGACTTTGGGAAAGGAAGCGGAGCGTAAAATCCCCTTTCAGGTAGTTACAGGAATAAATTCTGCACGTGCCCCCTGTGGTTAATCTCAACAGGATGTTGCTGATAATTCAGATGAAACGCTTGCTAGGCAGACCTCATAAGAGGTCTGGAAAACAGGGTCTTGCAAACTGGGCTCTTGGAAGGTAATTGAACATATCACCAATATTATTTCCTTTATAGAGATGTTAACACCACTCAGGAACTTGGGCTGAATGCCGTCTGCATGATGCTGCGCACAAACTGGAATCTCCAGGGCTTTGGTGAGCCTTGGTTGGTTTAATTGGAAGCATTGCTGTTTTGAGTTTCTATCACATTCTCCAGAATATGTCTCCTCCTGACTCCAGCCTCGCTTCATCTTCCTGTGGCAATGCATAAATAATGCAGAGGTTTGCTGCTGGGAAGCAGGAATGAGACCCAGATGTCAGGAGTGGAAAACACAGCAGCTTAAAGCTGGCAAATCAGAGCCGCCGTAAACACAATCAGGGATAAGTGAGCCATGGTGGGGTGGGACCACAACTAAGAGAGGTGTGTTTGAGATAGAATGGGTAACTTCTCAAACAAAGGGCCCAATTAACTTGCAGAGGAACCAGAATAGGACCAAGAGAGGGAGGGAAAAGAAGGGGAAGGCATGTAAGGAGCATAGCAACGTGGTTGTGATCAGCCTCTTCGCTGAGCAAGAAAGGATGGAACTCACGTTTGCATGAATTAAATTAACCTTGCAGTTTAGCTTAGACAGCAATGGATTGGAAAAGGTCCTAGAGAGATGCATAATCCAATCCACACCATATACTTTGCTAATGAAGAAACTGAGACACGGAGAGGGCTACCAGTTTCGCCAAGGGCCAGAAGTTCAAAAGTAAGCACTCCAGCTCAAACAAAACTAAATGAAACTACATAAAACCTTCAGATCTGCATTTCTTCCTATGTTCCTTGACCTGGGAAAAAGCAGTCACTGCTCATTCCCTTAATCCAAAGATCCAGGTATTATTCTTAACCTCTTCCTCTCTGAGCCTCTAAATCCATTCAGTCTGCAACTCCTATAGATATTACTTCCTTACTCACAAAAATTCCTTTCTCTACACACTAATATCTGCTGCCTTAAGCTAGGTCCTTGTCATCTCTCTAGCCCGGTCTCAGTCCCTCCGATCTTAACACTTCTAATGATCTGATAGGGTTGCTCCTTGCTCAAACCTTTAAAGGTTCCTTCACCCACCTTCAACAAAATGTCCTAACACCCTAGGATGGCATACAAGTGCACTGATGGTCTGACTATTGCCCACTGCTACAGAAACCTGATTAAGTCTCCTTTCACTGTATGCTCTTATTCTAAATTATTACAATTCCTCAAACCCATAGCTCCTTCCTCCGAATTTTCCATTTGCTTAGATAGTTTTCACTTAGTAAGAATCATCTTAGGTTTAAACTGCCTTGGCAATCCCAGAAACACCACATTACATGCCTTGAAGGGGTGCCATTCATTCGGGGCACAGTGTGATTGGTGCTCCTAAGAGGTGCGCAATATGCCCTTATTTGCATTCCCAGAGAATCCTGGACTTACGTCTACCTCAGCAATCCTCTCACTGTACTATGATGACCTGTTGGCTCCTGCAAGAGGCAATATGGAAATGAAAAGTGTTTTAAAACATTGCCTCTGGGTTAGGGCAAATTGGGCTTTAAAAATTTTCTCACTTATTCGCAGTGCAAACTTGGGCAAGTTACTTATTTTATCTGAAATTCAGTATTCTCAGCTGAAAACCAGTCATCATGAAAGTACCTACTTCATCGTGAGATAATCTATATTAAGTTTCCAGCACAGTACCTGGAGTCTTCAATAAATTAACTATTATAGCTATTATTGTTGTTGGTATGGGGAATGGTACCATGCTATATTAACATTTTAGTTTCTCTTGCCACATAACAGGCACTTAGTTAATATTTGTTGAATCAATTGATTAATAAGCAAAATAAACCTGTGGATATTGGAGTATCCTAATTGGGCATACTTCCTACTTATCTGGTACAGAATTTTACTGAAGAAAGTATAAGTATTAAATCTTCCAGTAGGAAAGAAAAAGCTTCTTCAACTGAAATAATGTGATAATTGTCTTGTAATTGCCCCCTGCAATTTGGAGGAATACATGTTTCTTATAATTAAGAGGCATTTATTTTTAGGGGCATCATTTGAGCAACAAGCAGAACAATGTCTCCATTTTCTTCATTCTGAATCTTCGAGGCCACTAGAACTCCTAGGGTTTAGCAGTGATCATTCCTGCAGGTGAACGGGTCTATAATTTATCATTTACCTCAGCTTTCAGAGTCTGTAAGAACTATTGAAGAAAATAAAAAATGCACTCTCTTCTCTAGTTGAATTCAGCATTTAAGAAGCGCCTGTCACCATGTAGGCATAGCTTCTTGCTTTATTGAGAAAACTGTTGCTAAGACACAGTCTTAATTTGTTTGCACACTTTTCATAAGAATGGTGGTGTTTATTCACAGAGAGAAACTGAGGTGTAAGAGGTAAAGGTGCATAGGAAATTCATTATGGTAGAGGATTCAACCTAAAACAATTATTTCATCAAAGTGACCAGGGGCATGACCATCACCTGGAGACTTCTTAGAAGTGTAAATTTGGGGGCCTAACCCAGACATACTTGAATCACAGCATTGCTGGGGCATGGCTCAGCAGTCCGCTTTAACAAACTCAGTTTATACTGATGCTTGTTAATACTTGGGATCCACTGCTCTAAAGGCTAGAACAGAACTACATTCAAGCCTCACAGATCAGTAGGAACAGTAACTAGTTTTTGGCAATTGGAAAATCTTGGGATAGACTCACCTGGGGAGGGTGCCTTGAAATAGGATGCTCATTTTCTTCAAGGCCCACCACAGCTTCTTGATATTGCCTCCTGATTTCATAACTAGAATTAAATACCAGTATAATCATGGATGATAACTACACACCATGACCCAGGAAGAAATAAATGCATACCAAAAAAATTGCAAGTTGTTGGTAATATATATCATCAGAAACCTGGGAAACATGTGTAGGAATGGATTCTAAGGATGCTATATACTGATATAGTCAGAATATAACACTGATTTAGCTAACTTCACTGATATGAGTATATAATCTACAGATTCTGGATTTACTTTGTTAGTCTGAGTAGCTGGAGGTGCATCTAACACCCTAATTGGTTGGTTGACTGAATCATGTGCTGAATACTAGCCTACATTTAGTGAAGTCAAGTTGCCTGAGCTTCCCTGGCATAATGGGGAGGACAGTGTGCAAAGTCTCAGGGAAATAGAAAAGTCTACTGGATTCATCTTGTGAGACTCACACACCCTTCTTCCCACCTATGAGAGATGTTCCCTCCACTAAGCAGTGAGACACACATTAGTGAGGGGAGCATCTTCATCCTTGAAAAGCCATGTAGTTGCTCTCCTTTGACAGCCAAGTCTGCAGGGAATGCTACCACTGAGGTGAGGGGGCTTTGATTTTTTTTTTTTTTTTTTGAGACAGAGTCTCACTTTGTTGTCCAGGCTAGAGTGAGTGCCGTGGCGTCAGCCTAGCTCACAGCAACCTCAAACTCCTGGGCTTGAGTGATCCTTCTGCCTCAGCCTCCCGAGTAGCTGGGACTACAGGCATGCGCCACCATGCCCGGCTAATTTTTTATATATATATCAGTTGGCCAATTAATTTCTTTCTATTTATAGTAGAGACGGGGTCTCGCTCTTGCTCAGGCTGGTTTTGAACTCCTGACCTTGAGCAATCCGCCCGCCTCGGCCTCCCAGAGAGCCAGGATTACAGGCGTGAGCCACAGCGCCCGGCCTTTGATGGAGATTATGAAATCCCAGAGTAGCAGAGGCCAAGTGGTAGCACTTAACCACCACAGACAAGATGAATACATCAACCAGCACATCCCTCTTTATCTCAGATAATATTTCTTGTTCTGATGTCTACTTTATCTGATAATTATTAATAATATAGCTAACCCATCTTTCTTTTAGTTAGTATTTGCATAGTATATCTATTTACATCCTTTTACTTTAACTTGCGTCTTTATATTTAAAATGAATTTCTTGTAGACAGAATATATTTTATCTTGTTTGTTTATCAAATCTAATACTCTTCATCTTTTAATTAGTGTGCTTTGACCATTTACATTGAATGATACTATCAATATGTTTGTATTGAAATCTACTATCTTGCTAGCAGTTTTCTATTTGTTTCATCTGTTCTTAGAGTTTTCTATCTTTTCTGATTTCTCTTGTATTAATTGAGCATTTTTATGATTCTAATTATCTCCACAATTGAATTATTATTTATGCCTCTTAAAAATGTTTTAGTGTTTTCCCTATTCTTTACATTACCTATCTTTGATTAACCAGCATCTACTTTGAGATAATATACTACTGTATTTATACTATAAGGACCTTATAACTGTATATTACTAATTTAATATTTCTTCCATATTTTGTGCCATTATTGTGATAGATTATTTACTTTTGCATATACTGCAAACATACACTACATTACTACTATTTTGCTTTAGACTGTCAAGTATTATGTTTTAGAGAAGTTGAAATAAAAACAGAAGAAAAAAATACTTCATCTTGCCTTCATGTGTTTCATTTTTAGTGCTTTTTTCTGTGCTTTGATTCAAAGAGACTGTGACTTTTTGCGACCAAAATGATCTTTGGGCCCCCAAACTTCTACATCAGGAATCAGAGAAGAGAGATATTTGGCCTCAAAGGGAGCCCTAGTCTCCAATGGCCTTTTTATGTGCAGCCCAGAAGGATAAAGGAAAAATAAGCACCTCCTAAGGGCAGAGTAAGGATCTACAGAGAAAAAATCCAGGAGAGCTCCTAACAGGGAGCAGAACCAGGGTTTAATCAACCAACTGGCTGTATCCAAAGGATACAGACACCTCACAATGTCTATCTATGGGCATTTCAGATGACCAGTGACTGCTGTGTCCATCCCATCCACCTCCTTTCAAACCTGAAGGTTACTGGGGATATGGTTGCTTCATTTAACCATTGTATGTGGATGAGTGGAGAGCAGGGTACTTGCCTTTGTGGTGATTGGGAGGAGGTACATATAGAATATAGAACTATGACGGAATCTTGGGCTGAGAGTCTGGTACTGAGACAGAATGGGCTATTCAGGGCTATTTCATTTGGGGAGGAGTTGAGTGTATTGTGTACATGGAAGGGAGGGAAGCACATATTTAAACTAAGCAAACAGATTATTGTAACACTTAGCCTTTGTCGTGTAACAGACCACAGAAAAACTTAGTGGCTTAGACAAAACTATGTATTATTTCTAAGGATTCTAAATGAGAATCATGCAGGTAAATTGGGCTATTCTGCTACTCTGAGCCAGGCGGCTCAGGGCTGGAAGGTCTAAGGTGGATACATTCACATGTCTGGTGGTTGACTTGATAGCTGCTATGTCAGTGGGAATGACTTTGCGGAGTCTCACTGTCTAGCAGATTACCCTATGCATATTCGCATGGCAGTTGTTGCAGGGTTCCCAGGAATAGCCAGACAGCAAATAACCCCTTTATAATCCTCAGCTTGCATCATATCTGCTCATTCTTATTGGCCAAAAGATGTCACACAACTAAGTCTAGATTCAAGGGGTGAAGAATTATATTCTATCTACTGATGAAGGTAGAACATAGTCCACTGCAAAGAGGCATGCATACAAGGATGGGAAGAATTTGTGGTCATTTTTATAGATTTTATGATTTTTCTCAATTATTAGCATCTCTCCTTATAATAGTATTTTACATCACTGCCCTTTGTCATGTGACTTGCAGAGCGTCCCTGTAGGAGGAATGTAGTTCCCCACCCCACTGATGATAAAATTGGTTATGTGACTTCTTTTTACCAATGAAATGTGAGCAGATATGATATTTGCCAGGTTTCAGAGGAAGATTTAACAGCCATTACCTGATTCTGCCTTTGACTTTTTCCGTCTGCAACAGGAGTATTATGTCCCAAATTAGGGCTTCCCTTTAGTCTGGATGCTAGAATGAAGAAGACAAACAGAGCAGAGGAACAGCTGATTTCTAGCATAAATGAATAAATGAACAATAACCCTTTGTTTGATAAGCCACTGAATTTTGGTAGTCATTCTTTACTGCATCAGAACCTAGATAAAAATGATCTCTTTTTGTATATTTAATCTACTATTAAAAATAGATCTTTCCTATTGACTTTGTAAATTATTTAAAACCCTCATATATATTTTAAAATGCTCTCATTCTTCTTTTCTTTTCCAGTTTTGACTCCATCTCCTCCCTAGTCTCAAGTAAATTTCTCAAAAGGGCTATACTTGACTCATATTCCTTCACACTTGTTCACCCCTAAAATCCTGATATTCTACATTCTTCCTCGAGAACTGCATCAGTACAACTCCTGCCGGAGTCACCAATGATCCTTACATGGCTGGTTCTGCTAACTAAACAGTATCTATCTGAGAAAGTTGACATTTTAAGCAATTCAGGAACCAATGGACCTGACCTGGATTTGTTTTCTCTGTTGTTTGGCTATTGTAGGTCTTCTGTGATTTCCACGGCCACTCCCAAAAGAAAAATGTGTTCCTTTATGGTTGTAGCATCAAGGAGACCTTGTGGCAAGCAGAGTGCACGGTGGGCACATCTACTCTCCTGGAGGACGTCAGCTACCGGGTAAGTCATTGGGGAGGAATGACACAAGACACACTGTGTCCACATTCTTACCTTGGAGATCTGTGCTCCACCATTTTTTTCTGGTAAATAGACATTTTGATTATTTTAACATAGAATTATAATACAAGCAGGCTGGAGGCATGTGTAACCTCTCCACATTTTTGCTGAATAATGTCTTACTACCTGGTTGCTTTGCTCTGTTTTCTATGTGATATGACATAGTATAAAGAGCATTAAAACTGAAGACAAGGAACCTCATTTTAATGCATAGCTTTACAGTTAATAACTGTGTGACTATGAGTCATGGACAATACCTCTCGGTACTCTCATTCTGCCATGTGTAAAGTGAGGAGAATAAAAACATTGCCACTGTTACATGGTTTATAGGAGGAACAAAATGATACAAAATACAAAAGGACCCAAATAAATATGAAAGGATGAACAAATGTAAGCCACCAGACCATCCGCATCCCTTTGCATGAGCAGTCTATGAAAAGCAGGGGAGTAACACACAGAACCTTATTCTATTTTACCCAAGTTCCAGTGGTTAGAGCTCAACTGTTCCTCCAAAGAACCACATAGGAAATTAAGGAGTCAGGAAAGCAGGACTTCTTTCTGTCAGGATAAAGAAAACAAGCTGTTGCTTGCTGAGAATCAGGAAATGGTAGAAGAGACAAAGTTGCTCAAACATGAAATAAAAATTGGTGCTTGTTTCAAATTTATGCAGAAAAAGGAGAAAAATTATGATGGTACCCACATCTCCTAAATCTGTTTTTCTGAGCATGTTAATTTTTTTGTGTGTGAAATAGCATGCTCCCCAGGGTTAACGATAACACTAAAAGAAATAAAAATCCACCATGCTACTCTTTCACCTAGAAATGCTTCCTCATTCCCTGAACTTTTTCTCCACCCTTCTTTACCCTGAGTCTACCAGAAACAGACTGCTGCTGGTCAGCTTAGTTACCTCAAGGCTTTCATAGCAAAACCAGCAGTTTTTCCTCAATAACTTATTTGCTCTAAGGCTCAACCAGAGTGAGGGCAATAAACCACAAGATGCTTAACTGCTTAATCTTACTTAGGAAACTGTTGACTAAATCAAAATATTCATCTGGGCCGCTCATGCTGACCTGGATAAAATTATCTCTTATGTGTGATACATCTTGAACTAAAAAAACTTACCTAACATTATCCAATCTTAAATATGGAGTCAGTGAGATTTTTACCTCTTTTTAAGAGAAGGTAACAGTATTCATGAATAATTCCCTATACATAAGCAGAGGTTATAAGACACAGAACCTTAAGAAATCTCCTATATCTCCTTTGCCCACTTTTCAGAAACTTTTCAAAATAAGATAGGCCAATGTACAACAAATGTGAAAAAATGCTCAACATCTCTAATCATTAGGGAAATGCAAATCAAAACCACAATGAGATATCACTTAACCCCAATGAGAATGGCCTTTATCAAAAAGTCCTAAAACAATAAATGTTGGCCTAGATGTGGAGAGATAGGAACACTCCTATGATGCTGGTGGGACTGCAAACTAGTACAAGCTCTGTGAAAATATGGAGATACCTCAAAGAGCTATAAGGAGAACTGCCATTTGATCCAGCAATCCCATTACTGGGCATCTACGTAAAAGAACAAAAGACATTCTAGGAAAAAAAGACATCTGCATTCGAATGTTTAGGGCAGCACAATTCACAATTGCAAAGATGTGGAAACAACTCAAGTGCCCATCAATACATAAGTGGATTAATAAAATGTGGTATATGTGTACCATGGAGTTCTACTCAGCCACAAAAAACAATGGTGATATAGCACCTCTTTTATTATCCTGGTTAGAGCTGGAACTCATTCTACTAAGTGAAGTACCACAAGAATGGAAAAACAAGCACCGCATGGACTCACCATCAAATTGGAATGAACTGATCAACACTTAGGTGCATATACAGTAGTAACATTTATCAGGTCTCCGTGCAGATGGGGGGGGGAAGAAGGGATGGGTATATACACACCTAATGCATGTGGTGTGTACTATCTGGGGATGGACACTCTTGAAAGCTCTGACTCAGGTGGGACAAAGGCAATATATGTAACCTAAACATTTGTACCCCTGTAATATGCTGAAATTAAAAAAATAAAATAAAAAACGACTTCAGTTGCATATTTGAAATTCAAAGTGAGAAGAATATATTATCCTTATGTGGATTTTCCTAGCAGGATTTTGCTAACTTTGGGTGACTGTCAATTAACCATAACGTGAACAAATCCTTTCATCACGTTCTTTCTTCTCTGATATTTTCAACAAAAAAACAAAAAGGCACTACTAGAACTTGGAAAAAGAATGCTTTGTAGCTTCATACATCTCTATTTTGTTTGGTTTGTTTTTTTGATATACACGGTCTCCTCTTTATCACTCGGGCTAGAATGCAGTGGTGTGATCACAACTCACTACAACCTCAAACTTATGGGCTCAAGCTATCCTTCTAACTCGGCCTCTCAAATTGCTGGGATTCCAGGAGTCCATTTCCTTATCTTTAAATAATACCTATTAAAATATAACAGCAGTATGAGTTATATTTGATTGGATCATTCACATGGCATGGGATGGGAAACAAAACAAAAACTTGAGCATTAAAGAACTTGAATTGCCAGTTGTGGATACCAGTGAATTGAGGAGAAATGAATTAATTTCAGGTCTTCCACATCAGTGCCTGGGAAGTATCCTTTTTTAGTGACATTTTCTGGTATTGATCCTTTTCATAAATTTTCAATTTTGAGGAATTGAAAAGATAATAATTATTGACATTACTCATATGGTGCCAAGTATATGCCAGATACTATTCTCAGCACTGTATACATTAATTCATTTACTCTTCCCAGCCACCCTATATCCTGGAATACTGAATAGCAATAGAAGGTAATTGACAAATGATTGTTGGGTGAATAGATACCTTTATTAACACACCATTTTACATATGAGGGAATGGAAATGCACAGATTAAGTATATTGTCCAAGGTCTCATAGTTAGCAAGAGCTAGGATTTGAACCCCACGGGTTCACCAACAGAATTCACAGTTTTAGAATCTAACTTCAGATATCTTATATTATAAAGTATTTTCTATATTGAAAAGAAACAGAATAATGAACCAAACCATTCTACAATTTAGAATTAAAGAGACAGTGAAAGCATGAATAAATCTTTGTTGGGAGCCTGGAAAACAGTGAGTTGTCTGAGTTTAAAAAAAAAAAAAGGGTAAATATACAATGCAAAGAGGCTTTAAAATATAATTTTTAACTTTGGAAGATTGCCTATTTGAGCAGAAAGACTTCATTCTCTTCAAACCTTTATTCATCAGCAAACTCCATTCTAAACAGTGTAATAACAATGATCATTATAAAGGGTACTAAGTGCTTTTCTACCTCATTCAAGGTAGACACTGTTATCCCCACACACACTCTTATGACAACACTGAGGGCTAGGCAGACTGAAGCCCTGCTCAAAATCAGACTACATAGCATGAATCCAGAATCTATACTTTTAACCCCATGCCCACCCACGCCTCTGCCACACACTTGATCCAGAGAAAAGAGAAGACATGTGATTCTGCAGAGTCTACCCTAACAGAGGTGGCTCTTCCCTGGAAATCATCTCTGAGCTAGTGGCTATGTAGTGAGCTTATCTTTGAGTCAGCATATCTTTGAGAGCTCCATGTTCTTTGAATTTTGGAAAACAGACAGGTCTGGGAAGAGTCAGCAGAAATTAAATGAATTGAAATGTAGCCTAGGCCTCTAAAATGAGCCTTGAAATCAGAATTACTGAATCAGAATCAACTCTTCCCCCACCGATTATGGTTGCACCTGACTCCACTGCTACTGGACAAATGGAATTCAGTATCTATGAGGAAGTGGACGGCTCATTCTCAGGGTCACTTCTGGACTAGTCTCGAAATCCCTTCAAAGTCTGTATTGAGACCATGCCAAATGCCAGTTCCTATGCTGTGACACACATGTATGTCATCTCATTTATTTCTTGTAACAACCCTAACACAGAAATGATAATTTTCCTATTTTATAGATGAAAAGCTGAAGACTCAAGAAGGCTAAATAGCTTATCTGAAGTCACACAGCAAGTCCAGGGGGGAACTCAACTCTTAGCTCTAGTCTGCCTGGCCCTAGCCTGCCTGCCTTTAAACTTTGTGCTATGATGCCTGGTATTTAGTGTTCAGGCAGTGTTCTGAGTTGCAGTGACATCTCTCTGCTCTTTAAGAGTCTTTAATATACACTCTGAAGGCTACATTTAGAAAATAAGAAAGAACCAGAAAAGAATGGAGGTTTTTCTTGAGACATGTTTATAATAAATAATGTTATGATATTGAATGACTATTACACATTGAACATATTACATCTTATTTAAACCTCTTTATACTTCTGTGGGATAGTAATACTGGACATAAGAAGCAATATTCTTATTTTTTGTTTGTTTGTTTTTACAGTGGTTAAGCTTTTGTGATCTGAATTAGTATATCTGGGTTGAAATTCTGATTGTTTTTACTAGCTCAGTGACCACTGTAAAGGTACTTACTTAACTTTTCTGGCCTCTGTTTTATCTCTGAAATGAGATAATAATATAATTTATCTCAAAGACTTGTGATAACTGAGTTAAAACATGTAGTAATACATAGTAAGTAGTTAGTGAAACAATACCTATTATAATTTTAAAGTTATGGAAAATGAAGAAAAACTTAAGGTCACAGAATAAATGGCAGGGAAAGAGTTGAATGTCCCAAGTCTTCTTTTCCCACCCAAGTTATCTCCCAGGGAGCTTTGAAGCAAGGCTCCACTGGATCAGTGCACAAGTAGAGCTCATCTGTTTTCCATTCATTAACACAAGAAAAAAACAAGAAAGAACCTCCAGTTCAAAATCTGTGTCATTGCCTTCCTTTCTCTGACAAAGACTTATTTATGTGAAACCAAAAGGGAAATGAGATGCTA